CCTTACCTTACACCATACACAAAAATTAACTCAAAATGGATTAAAGACTTGAATGTAAGACCTGAAACTATCAAACTTCTAGAAGAAAACATAGGCAGTATGCTCTTCAACATCGGTCTTAGCAACATCTTTTCAAGCACCATGTCTGACCGGGCAAGAGAAACAATAGAAAAAATAGACAAATGGGACTACATTAAACTAAAAAGCTTCTGCACAGCAAAGGAAACCATCAACAAAACGAAAAGACAACCTAACAATTGGGAGAAGATATTTGCAAACCATACATTGGATAAGGGGTTAATCTCCAAAATATATAAAGAACTCATGCATCTCAACAACAAAAAAACTAACAACCCAATTAAAAAATGGGCAAAAGACCTGAACAGACATTTCTCCAAAGAAGATATACAGATGGCCAACAGACACATGAAAAGATGTTCAAAATCATTAACTATCAGGGAAATGCAAATCAAAACTACAATGAGATATCACCTCATGCCCATCAGAGTGGCTATAATTAACAAGACAGGAAACAACAAGTGTTGGAGAGGACGTGGAGAGCAGAGAACTCTCATATACTGCTGCTGGGAGTGCAAACTGGTGCAGCCACTATGGAAAACAGTATGGAGATGCCTCAAAAAATTAAGGATAGAACTACCATATGATCCAGCTATTCCACTGCTGGGTATTTATCCAAAGAACTTGAAAACACCAATGCGTAAAGATACATGCACCCCCGTGTTCATTGCAGCATTATTCACAATAGCCAAGACTTGGAAGCAACCTAAGTGCCCATCAAGGGACGAATGGATAAAGAAGATGTGGTATATATACACAATGGAATACTACTCAGCCATAGAAACGATGAAATCCAGCCATTTGTGACAACATGGATGGACATTGAGGGTACTATGCAAAGTGAAATAAGTCAGAGGGAGAAGGTCAAATACTGTATGATTTCCCTTATTAAGTAGTAGATAACAACAACAACAAACAAACACATAGAGACAGAGATTGGATTGGTGGTTATCAGCTGGGAAGTGGGGAGGGAGGAGGGCGAAAGGGATAATTCGGCACAAGTGTATGGTGATGGGTTGTAGTTAGTATTTGGGTGGTGAACATGATGTAATCTATGGAGAAATAGAAGTATAATGATGTACACCTGAAATTTATACAATGTTATAAACCAGTTATGCAATAAACAAAAAATTTTAAAAAATATGTAAATCAAGTAAGCGTTGATTATAATTAAAAAAAAAAAATTTACAGAATTTTAAAACAAGGTAGTACTCTATGACCTAGTAATTTCACTCCTAGGTATTTACTCAAGAGAAATGTTCACAAAGAAGCCTTATACAAGAACAAGCTTTATTCATAAAAGCCAAAAACTGGGAACAAACCAAATGTCCATAAACAGGAGAACTAATTAAAAATTGTGACAAATTCAATTGTGATAGTGAAATATTTCTCAGCAACAAAAAAGAATAAATTACTGATGCATGCAACAGTATGGATGATTTGAACAGACATGCTGAGCAAAAGAAGCCAAACACAAAGAGTACATATCGTATGATTCCATTTATATGAAATTTAACAGGCAGAACAGGCAATACTAATCTGAAATCAGAACACTGGCTGACTGTGGGGAGTAACTAGAGTCATAAATTTTCTATATCTTGATTGGGGTGTAAGTTACATGGGTAAATACAATTGTCAAAACTCATTAAATATGACCCATAGTCAAGAAAAAAGCAGTCAATAGTAATAGACCACAAGATGGCCCAGGTACTGGATTTAGCAGATAAAGACTTTACAGCAGCTTTTACACACAGGTGCAAGGCTGTAAAGAAGAATATGGTCTTAATAAATGTACAGATAGGGAACACCAGCAGAGAAATTAAAATCATTATAAAAAGAAGCAAACGGAAATTCTATAACTGAAAAGAATAAAAACTGAAATAAAAAATTCCCTGGATGTGCTTAACAGAAGACTGGAAATGGCAGAATAAATTATCCAACCAGAAGAAATAAGAAGATAAAACAATGAAAAATGAAAATTAATAAAGAATAGAGCTTCTGTGACCTTTAGAGCAATATTAAGCAATCTAACATATCTGTAGTTCTAGATTCTCAGAAGGAGCAGAAAGAGTGAAAAGGGGGGGGGGGGAAATTTAATGAACTAATAGCTGAATACTTCCCAAATTTGTTAAAAAACCTCAACTTACAGATCCAAGAACATTGGTGAAACACAAGCAAGACAAATACTAAGAAAACTATACCTAAGCACATCATTGTCCAACTACAAAAAATAAAAATAAAGGAAAAATTTTGAAAATAAACAAAGACACATTACATGTTGGGGTTGGGGGGGGAAGTGACACAAATGAAGGCTAAATTCTCCTTAGAAAAGAAGGAGTCTAAAAGATAATGTAACATCTTTGATGTATTGAAGGTAAAAAACTATCAACCAGAATTCTCTATCTAGTGAAAATATCCTTTTAAAAAAAAAGAGAAATAAAGAAGGAAATTCTCAAAAGGGGAGAGCATTCTTCTCCAGGAGAAATGCACAATAAGAAATAATATAGGATATTCTTTGGGCTAAAGAAAAACGACAGCAGATGAATATCAGATCTTCAGGGAGGACTGAAGAGTGCCAGAAATAATAAATATGAAGGAAAACATAAAAGATTATCTATAGTTTCTTAATTTCCTTGAAAGACAAGTGGTTGTTTTAAACAAAAAGAATAACATTGTAAAATGGGTTCATAACATCTGTAAAAGTAAAAGATACAACAACTTTAATGCAAAACAAGGGAGGTAGGGGAACAGGTAAATGGAATCACACTGTTGCAAGGTTCTTATATTTGTGCAGTGGGAAGTGATATATTATTGATTTTAAGTAGACTGTGATAAGTTAAGGATACATACTAGAGTCCTTGAGGAAAGACTTTAATAAACAAACAAATACATACAGGTATACCAAAAAGCCAAAAGAGAAATTAAAACCAAATGCTAAAAAATATTTTTCAATTAACCCAAAAGAAGGTAAAAAAGAAGTTACAGTGAAAAAAATAAATAAGAAAGCCAAATAGAAACCAATAGCAACAGAGCACACATAACAATATTAGATGTAAAAGATCTAAATATGCCAATTAAAAGGTAGAAATTGTCAGACTAGATTAAAAAAAAAGCTTGACCTAACTATATGCTATCTGTCTACATGACAATCAGTTTTAATTTAAAGACAAATATAGGCTAAAATTTAAAAGACTGAGAAAAAGATACACCAAGTGAACAATAAGCAAAAGAAAGTTAATGCAGCTATATTAATATCAAACAAGACATATTTCAAAGTGAGAATTTTACCAAAGACATAAAGGGACATTTCTTAAGGAGAAATATCATCTGATCAGGAAAATATAACAATCCTAAATGTGTATATATCTACTAACATAGTTTCTAAATGAGTGATGTAAAAACTCATATAACTAAGGAGAAAACAGACAATTTTCACAATCATATTTGGAGATTCACTGCCCTCTCACAGTGACTGATAGAACAAACAGAAAAAAAGACACCAGTAAGGATACAGAATATTTGAACAACCACCTGACCTAACTGATATATATAGAACACTATGCCCCAAACAGAATAGACCTTCTTTTTTTTTTGCTGAGAAAGATTCGCCCTGAGCTAACACCTGTTGCCAATCTTCCTCTTTTTGCTTGAGGAAGAGTTGCCCTGAGCTAACATCTGTGCCAATCTTTCTCTATTTTGTATGTGGGTCGCCACCATAGCATGGCCACTGACAAGTGACGTAGGTCCGTGCTCAGGAACTGAACCCAGGCCACCGAAGCGGAGTGCACTGAACTTAACCACTAGGCCATGGGGCCAGGCTCTAGACCTTCTTTTCAAGTGCACATAGAATGTTCATCAAGACAGAATATAGTCTCAAAAAATTTCAAAAGATCGAAACATTAAAGTCTGTTCTCTGATCATAATGAAATTAAGAAATCAATAAGAAGGTGATCCCCCCCAAATATACGCAAATGAATTAACATGCTACCCAATAACCCATGAGTCAAAGAATAAATCAGAGGGAAATTAGAAAATATTTTGATAAGAATGATAATGAAAGCACAACATGCCAAAAGTTGTGAAATGCAGAAAGAAATAATAGAAACCAATGAAACAGAAAAAAACCCAAATGTTGGTTCTGTGAGAAGACTAAGAAAACTGATAAACCTGTCTTACAAGTATTCAAGAAAAACAGAAAGAAAACAAAAATTATCTATATCAGAATAAAAAGAAGGAACATCACAACAGATCCTATAAACATTAAAAGGGCAATAAGGAAACACTAACATTTATGAAAATTAATTTAATAATTTGGATGAAATAGAAAATTTTCTGAAAGACATAACCTAGGAAAACCGACTCATAAGGAAATACAAAAAAGTTAAATAATCCTATATTAAAGAAATTGAAGTGACCATCTAAAATCTTTCCATAGAGAAAATTCCAGGCCCAGATAGTGTCACTGGTGAATCCTGTCAAATATTTATGGAAGACATAATACCAAGCTTACATAAACTGTTTCAGGAAAAAAAACCATGAGGAAATATTTCCCAAGTCATTTAATGAGGCCGACAAAAATCATGATACCAAAACCTAACAAAGACATTATTATGAGAAAAGTACAGACAGATATTCATCGAAGAATAGAGACACAAAAATCCTAACAAAATAATAGCAAATGGAATCAAGCAAATATAAAGGACAACACCATCATGATCAAGTGGTATTTATCACAGGAATGCAAGATAAATTCAATATTCAAAAATCAATGTAACTCAACACGTTAAGACAAGAAAGGGAAAAACTCAGATGGGCATTAACTAGTAGGATAGAGGTTACCTGGTAGGAAATTCTGATTTAAACTATTTCTGAAAGATGCTCAAATCTCATCACAGTGATTGACAAACGAAGATCTAACTTACCTGGGTCAGGAGAGTGGTTATTTTGGGGACAACCAGGGAGGGAAGGGGCGACTGGAGCTACTCCCCTGGAAACCGAGGTTTGTGATACATCTTGTTGACTTTCCCACCGGCCCTATTATGGACAACATCGGTTATTTTGATTCAAATCAATCAATCAATAACAAATCTAAAGATATTTAAGAAAAAACTGTTACATATTCCTAAAGCTTTATTGCCTTTATAGGACATGATAAATTTGATTACTTAAGTAATTTTCCTCTTGTACTTTCCATCTTCTTTATAGTATTAATTTCCCTAACATGAATGGTATCTCACATTTGGATATCCCCTCCAGTTTATAATTTACCGTCTCCTCACTTCTATCCTAACATTCTTTCTACTATATCACATTGCTTCCCACAAAATACGTATATATTAAGACATTCCTTTTGAAATCCTCCCTTAACATTCTGCTTCTTAGGCTGTTTCTGCTCTTCTGCCTCAAGATGCTCTTCCCACTTCAGATTCTCAACTGAAACCCAGGAACAACTCTAATGTTGTCAAGTGTCTCTTCTCTCCTCTCCAGGAATGCATCTTTCCATCCATTCACACATTGCTCGTGAAAGTAAAAATTCCACAACAGTATATTACCAAGCCTCTCATTTTTAACAGATACTAAAGATAAGTTCTAGTTAAGCCCAAATCACCAAGTAATCACAAGTTCCCAATAACAGAAGTCTGAATTAACAAGTCTGACTGTACTCTCAACTTATTTTTTAAATTCCCATTTAAAAGATTTCATTGCATAATAAAAGAACGATGCCAGTCAGGTGATGGATTGATTTGCCATTCTAAAGCTTGTGGTAAGCCATAAAAATGGTGACACCATCAAAGCACTTTTAACATCAGTCCCATCCAGTAAAGAAATAAACCCCAACCAAATGTTACAAGTACAGAAACCAGTAATGGAGATGAGATGCAAATCCTTTAAATGCTTTTAGTTCCCGTTTGATCCTTTGATAATCACTGAGTTCTTTTTCACCGGAGTTAAGTAATGGTATTTTATATTAGTTTAAGCTAGTATTCCACAGATGAGTGACCCTAACAATTAACCTGAGTTTTCATTAGTAATCGCCTGCAAAGCAAGTTCTTCACTGCTCCTGAAGATGGATTGAGGAGGAAAGGCCTCTTAGGTTTCAGATATGTATTGGAAACCTATCTGCTTTTAGCAGCAACCTAAGTACTGATCATAAAATCAATAAGCCCTAAGTGATCTGGATCCTGTTTACCTTAGAGAACATCACTTTTCCTTAGGAACTCTCTCAGCACTTGATATTTTTAAAAACGGTATGATGTTTAGCATTAGGAAGTAAGGAAACAAAATAGATATGAAGAGATGATTAGGGGAACCACGAACTCTGAAATACTTCACTGTAGGAGCATTTGTGTTACTATGAATCACACACTGATTTACATACTTTAATGTTTCGTTAATGTTTTTTGCATTTAAATTTAATTATCTGTCTGGGAAACAGCAGCTTTGTGTACTCTGAGACATCACAATCAGGGGGCTGAGCACTAAGGTCGATACTCTTTGGAGCTTCTCAGAGGAAGAAAAGCCTTATGCTTTGTTTACAGTGTTAAGCTCATGCAAGGCTGTTTTGAAGACAACTTCCTTAATTTGAGAATAAATTTATTTTCATATTTTAGATTTTTCTTCCTTGTTTGGCAGCTGACACTGGCACTCTGTCCCTTAGGAAAACTAAGTAGCCAGTTTGAAGTCAGCACCTCAGCTGTTTGGTGTATAATGGTCCAATGACAAATAATGCAGGTTTCACCTCTTCCCCAAGGCAGACTCGGGGCTCTGCTAGCTTCCCAGGTAATTTTTCCCAGCTGGCACTCCCATACACAATGTTACTACCAAATCAGAATGGAAGCAATAACTTTTACTGTCTCATATATTCAAATATCTCAAGTGAGAACATTTGAAAGGATGCACAGTTCTTATATATCGCCTTAGCCACGTTGCTAGCCCCACCAGATAATGAAAAATGGAGACATATTCACTTCATCCATCTACCTTAACCATCACCTTAATCTTGAGGAATTTCATACGCTAACTGTTCCCAGCTGTCACCAACCAGAGACAGGAACACAGAGTATCTCAAATCGCTCTGGGACAGAACGGCTCTGCCTCAGAGGGAACAACAAATTTGGATGATAAACTGGGTACAACAGTCTTCCTCCTCTTTCTGACACCCACAGATCTCTGGAGAAACACTTCACTGAAATCACTCACTACATTCTTTTTTCCGGCAGTACATGTCCATTCTCTCTTGCCAGAAATGAAACCTGTGGTTCAGGGTCTAGCTACACACACTGGCCCCCAGGGACAAGGTAATTGGTGTCTTTCCAATAAATTTCATATCCTTGGCTGTTCCAGAGTTATTCTCCCTTTACTGAAATGTTGGGGAAGAAAAAAAGGAAGCATCCCAGTTATAGGTACCTCAGAGGGAGATGAATTCAGGACAGTGAATAAAAAGGACATGGCCAGACTCTGGACCTTTCTGTTCTCTTATGAGCTCAGCTCTCAAAGTGGAAGAGTATGCTTTTTTTTTTTTTTTTTTTTTTTACTTCTACCACAGTAATCTGCACCCCACCATCTGGAATCTAAAAAGATCAATCTGTGATCTGATTCTAACATTCTGCATGTCTATCAAATTTCAGAATGAGCCAAGATGAGGAGATACAAGAGAGAAAGCTCTGACTTTGTTTTGGATCCCTAAACTAGCTTTATACTTATTAAGGACTATTTGTGCTAACAGACTGAATTCAAAGAAATAAAATCCTATTTGAGATAGCAATTATTCTTAGCTAGCACCATGCTTCAAGGCAAAATGGAACAGAGGAAAACACAGGAGGCTCTCAGCTAACTTGAGGATGTGGCTTGGTCCCTCTTGCGCACCTTCAGTACTCCTGTTACAGCTCTTCTGCCAGACACAAATTCTCTGGGTTCTCCGAAAGGAGGTCTATTTTTGATCAGGAAAGTGACAAAGAGGTAAATAAAGAGAAGTGCCAATGACATTCCAGATCCAAAGATGGCTTCTAATGCAACTAAAGAAGAAGTGACTCATATCTGGCACCAGCCTTCACCAGCTCCATGCTAAATAATTGCAGTTTTCAGGAAGGTGATGTAGCTAAAACACACAATTCAGTTTTGTTAACTGAATATTCATTTAGGTTTTTGGCTACTTTTAATCGGATCAAAAACTCCTATCAGAAGATGACAAACACACTATCTTACTAGTTTATTAAAAAATATAATTCCATCTAAAATGGCTTTAGAAATACCAATATTTTTATGTTGACAGTGTTCATTGCATTGCAAAACATCTCAATGCACAGCCAATTTTTAGATTGGAAAAACATACAATCTACTGAAATTAATTCTGCACCTAAATATAAATCCACCTTCATAAACTGCTCATAAAAAGTTTGCTACACTTTCATTATCTCTCTAAAAAATTTGCCTTAAAATAATGATAAAATGTCCAGTAATAGTAAATAGCAACATCACTGCAATTGGGAATATTTTATATTTTTAATTGAAAAGCTTATCAAGAGTGATTTCTTTTAGGCTCTAAGGTGAATTTAAAAGTTGGGAGTAGTTAATCAAATTCAATTTATCTTTTTAAGATTAATTAGTTCATCAATTCAATCTTGGTGGAGCTCAGCAAAACAATTCCGATTTTAATATGTAGTGAGCATCAATAAATAAGGGCATGCAAAATATGGCTGGCCAAATCCAAAGTGTTACAGGCTAAACTGTGAGACTGTTTTTAGTACCTTACCACTTCTCACCTCCCCAAGAGCCCTAACCCTATCAAACTCTCTGTTCCTACCTCCCTGCCACATCTTTCAGGGTCACTTTGCTCCCAAGTGACTAATGTTCACCACGATATTAACTGAAAATTAGGAGGGAAAGGAAGACCTGAACCTACTCTGTGGCCTCTCCCTGCTTCTAAACATTATTTCAACCAACTGAATGCTCTGATATTCCACAGGGGAAGACACAGCTCATCAAATTCTGTAGTCTATAATTCTGATTTTGTAATCAAGATCAGAGGGGTAGACACCTAGATTAATGGAACAGAGAGTCCAGAAATAGGCCCACACAAGCTTGCAAGGTAGATGTAACTAACGTAATTATAATTTTCAATTATTTCAAAACACGTTTTCTAGCATGTAAAGCATCATCAAGTCCAGGTTAAAATTATATTTCTGACTCGACTCTCTTTGCATTCAATACTTTCATGCAAAAAACCAAGATGGTCCTGTTGAGCCAAGTTCTGTGGTGTCAAAGGACTGCCCGAAGCACTTTTGCTATTTTCTTTGCTCCTTTGCCCCTTTCCCATGCTTAAGAAAAGGACATCTTACAGGTTCTCAAATACTTATTTGTATTATTTGTTTCATATGAATTAAATCCTCACATTCCAGAGCCTTCTAAATTCAGTAAGATGCCTTGATTCCTGGTCTCTTTTGACAGATACTTTTACAGTCTTAGACCCAGGTAACAAGGAACATTTCCCCCCCCCCCCCCAAAGCCCCAGTGGATAGTTGTGTGTCGTAGCTGCACATCCTTCTAGTTGCTGTATGTGGGACTCGGCCTCAGGATGAACGGAGAAGTG